TTGATTAAACAACTCCAATAGCTTAGTGAAGAATAAGCCAAACATTTCATCTGCAGATATGTTGTGCTGCACAAGTAGATGCATCCAATCTACGCAGTTCAGAAGCAACAATAACTCATCCAAACAACGCAAAGAGACATTACGGAATGTAAAACTTTTGGGCTCATTGTAGATAGGATCAGATATTTTTAAAATATACTCAAGTCCACTATGATCACTAATATCATAGTGCAGTAAAAATAAGAGAAAAATTCCATAAACCTAAAAAAAATTAGCACAACCGGGGAATTTGGTACAGATGTTGGGTGTACCTTCCTTTTGAACATACTAAAAGTCCCCTAAAATTGAAGCTGTGCTACGGCCGCCATATTGGAAAATGGCGGCATATTTCTGTATTTATCGCTATAGTGACTTTATTATTAGAGATACATGAAAAAGCTAAATATACAAAATGTAGGTCATCTAAAAATACACATTTTTTGTATTTACCATCTTTCTCTAAACCCAACGGTTTTTGAGTTATTTGTTATTAAGTATAGATAGTTTTTTCTATTTATCAAAAATAGGTGAAACACATGGAAATTGACCGTTACTTTCAAGGATTATGATAATTTATCCTATTTAGTTAAATAGTGTGATACTATAAAATCTTAAAATTCAAGCTTATTTTATGAGTAAAACAACTCTGCCACAGCAAACCTGCAGACTCAGCAAATTTCCTTTTGATTGGATGTTTTATTAATTGTATTTAAATAAAATCAGATTCAACAGGTACCTAGGTTTGCTGCTACAGGAAGGTTATTATAGTGTGTTTTTTTAGTAAAATATCAGTAACTTAGTATAAAATAATTAATTTTCCAAGTTTGATCATAACCCAGATAGCACGTCAGCTTATTTCCAGCTTTGCTTTGAGTGTATGTTGAATTGGGGATTACAGTTTGATAACTCAAGCTGTATAACATGTTGTATCGCACTGTACAGATCCAGCTGTAGAATACAGGAATTTCAAAAGCTGTTAGTAAGCTGTTTTTGCGATGGAGAATTTGACAAGATGCGCGCGCAACTAAAGTTTCCATTAGCGGTCACCGGTAGCGCTGCGTTCGCTGCCGTTCAGCTCAGCGCCACCGCCACGGACACACACGCTGCCCGCCGCCATTTTCACTTTACTACTTTAGCAGTTCTCTTTTTTATTGTTTTGTTTCCCTCAAACAGAGTATTGAGTATCAATATTCAACGAACAGTTTGCTGTTTTACGCGTGCTTTCTAATTAATGGAGTGTGTTTTGTATTTGTTTTAATAAGTTGGTTTTTTAACTGTTTACTTATTCACTGTTTTTTTACATCAACTCTGGTAAGTAAGTGAACATTCAATTAACCACTAAGTTAATTAGAATCTTAAAAGGTTGTCGTTTCATAAGACCTTAATAAGTTACAGTTAATTACACCCCGGTGGATTTTAAGGTTTAGCAACTATTTTCGTCCAGACAAGTTTGATTTTCAGCAACACATTTTTAAGTAGGCCTAACCAATCATAGCATTCCTTTCTTCCTCACTCCCTTGGTAAACACCTCGTTGGGTTTTAAGGTTAAGAATGTTAAAAGCAACTAAGGCCTAGCCTATTGTTTTCACCTACATCTTAATAGGGCTCTAATCGATGGGCGCTTCAATATCAAGCTTGAACCAAGTCATATGGGCGTTTAAAGATTAAAATCAATTTGAATAAAATCACATGGTTAATGAAACTGTATTTTGTGTAAGTTAGGCCTATTTATTAACCCTCCAAGTGTCCATAGTTTAGGCCTTAATGTCCGCCTATTTTTGGCGCATTTGCAAGGTTTTATTAAAACGGATCTGAAAAGCTTAAAACAATGTTAATTCTACTGTTCTATAGGCCTATACCATTTTGTTTGGAAAATCATGGGCTTCAATATCATACATAAAACCTATGGAATATTTGTTTCAACAAAAAATTTTTAGGTAAAAATATGTACAAATTATTTTGAAAAAATTAAAAAAAAAATAAGTTTGTGCTCAATGAAATTGTATAAATTATAGGCCTATAATAAATATTTGAAAATAGCCACTTTGTTCTAAATTTTATGAGGATTACAAATAACTTATATAAAAATATAAGGAAGTAGATTTGCAAATAAATAAGTTATGGGCAAAAAACAGATTTCAGTACATAGGCCTAGCGTTTAGCTAAGAATGCATAGCCTAACCATAGCTAGGAATCTGGCTGATATTTACATCAATAGCCTATCACTACCTACTTCTTCAGGATCATCAACCAGCCCTTCAAAATCACTTAAATCTTCTTATAATGCACCACGTATATCACTACTTTTGATTTTTAACACTAAAACAATGATAAGTAAACATAATAAAACACATCAGTCATCGGTCCGAGGTTAACTAACCTGTTTACAAATACGCACGTCAGCTGTCTGCTACAATTACGATCGGCTTGGAGAACATAAAGCGCTTAGAGACAGACCTCTGGAGAAAGCTTAGAATATAACGAAAAGAACGATACCGGTACCTAACTCGATCCAGTTCAATCCGATTTTGTCAGTCATAGAGCCTTCGCCGTAAACAGTGTTCGTGAGTCGCTGCAGCGACGCATGACACTCGGAGGGTTAATTCATCTTTAATTTTCAGTAACACCTCAAGTGTTTTAACATAAACTAGTGTACCTGTTGCTCGACTGGCGTTTGTTAAACGTAGGCCTATTTATGTTAACCGTCATAAATTTAAATGACTAAAAGAGTCGACTCAAAGATTATAGAAATACTATCGATGTAGGCCTACATACTTAACTTGTAGCCTACACCCTTTCCAATGACACCAAAAATATGTCAATCGGATCAGTAGTTTCGGAGAGGTAATTGTCACAAAAGACCTTGCGTATTAAATAAGTAAGTAGCCTATAGATTCAAGTTTATTTTTAAAATTGACATCTTACTACACATTGTAGTAAAACACATAACTTAAGTTAAATGCCTGATGCCCGGATTCAAGACGGGGGGCTGCAGCTTTAGTAAGACCTGACTTTAACTTAAAACCTATTACCCAAAGATAGGCTAGTAATATAGATTTAGCATATACTTTAAACTTTTTACAAAGGATAATAAATTAACTTATTTTTAACTCAGTCATAGAGCCTTCGCCGTAAACAGTGTTCGTGAGTCGCTGCAGCGACGCATGACACTCGGAGGGTTAATTCATCTTTAATTTTCAGTAACACCTCAAGTGTTTTAACATAAACTAGTGTACCTGTTGCTCGACTGGCGTTTGTTAAACGTAGGCCTATTTATGTTAACCGTCATAAATTTAAATGACTAAAAGAGTCGACTCAAAGATTATAGAAATACTATCGATGTAGGCCTACATACTTAACTTGTAGCCTACACTCTTTCCAATGACACCAAAAATATGTCAATCGGATCAGTAGTTTCGGAGAGGTAATTGTCACAAAAGACCTTGCGTATTAAATAAGTAAGTAGCCTATAGATTCAAGTTTATTTTTAAAATTGACATCTTACTACACATTGTAGTAAAACACATAACTTAAATGCCTGATGCCCGGATTCAAGACGGGGGGCTGCAGCTTTAGTAAGACCTGACTTTAACTTAAAACCTATTACCCAAAGATAGGCTAGTAATATAGATTTAGCATATACTTTAAACTTTTTACAAAGGATAATAAATTAACTTATTTTTAACTATATGACATGAATAAATAAACTTATTAGCCTAGGTCTAACTTTCTAATTTAGACCTACTGATGCTAAGCTTACCGTAGGCCTAAGTCTTAAAAAACGACATACATTTTTAAGTCTTAAGTTAAACTTACTGAACATAAACTTAATTGAACTAAGGCATGCCCCCTTTGGAAGTTACCTATACTTACCTCATCGGTCTCAAAAACAAAAGATAGGTCTACCATTTTGAAAACTAGGCTACTTTACACAATAAAATTTCACTGTAGGTTTACTTACCTTTAGTCTATCCTTGTAAATCATTTAAGCATATAAGTTTTTATAAAACCAACTTTAATAGCTAGCTTAACTTGTCCTTTTCTGTCTTTTAGGGATGTCAACCCGAAAATTATTTAAAGATCTTTCCCGAAAAGGTCAAAGAAAACGATTAAAAAAACTATCCGAACAAAGATGTTCAACCGCAAGTTTTGAGTCTAATGAACCCAATGGGAGTATAAATTTTGAAGATGAATTCCATTCAGCAGAAAATGATAGTAATAATGAATTTATTGAAACCAGCCAACCTTCAACTTCTAACTACATTTTTGACTCTTTGGAACAATGTCCTATAGAATCAGATGGCTCAGATAGTGAATGTTCAGATTTAGAAAGTGATACAGAGGTTCTACAAACCAAATTAGCCAGTTGGGCTCCTCAATTTAACATCACAAATGTGGCATTGTCAGCTTTATTGTGTATACTTCGTTCCCATGATTGTCACAGATCGCTTCCTTCAGATGCACGAACTGTTCTGAAAACCCCTAGAGTTGTGAATGTGAAAGATGTAAGTCCTGGTCAATATTGCCATATTGGAATTTCAAATCAGCTGAGAAAGCTATTTTCAACTGTACCTACAATTATTATGGAATGTGTTCTTTCTGTTGATTTAATGGTTGGAATTGATGGACTTCCGTTATTCCACAGTAGCAGTGGTGAGCTCTGGCCGATTCTGGGATCAGTATTCAACATACCCTCACTCTCGTCTACTGTTTTTCCTATTGGAATTTACTATGGCCTGAAGAAACCAATGAATTGTTTTCATTACCTTGCTGATTTTGTGAAAGAGGCTATTGATCTGGTAAATAATGGTTTGAGTTATAATGGAAAGACTTTATTTATCAAAATTAAAGGCATTTGTTGCGATGCCCCAGCCAAAGCATACATTTTAGGTATCAAGGGACATAATGGCTACTCTTCTTGCACCCGATGTAAACAAGAGGGATCTTTTTTTGATAATAGAATGACATTTCCATTACACAATAGCTTACCTCGAACACATGAGGGGTTTTTAAGCCAAGAGGATCCAGATTTTAATATTAACGACACCCCATTCACTACTATCCCTGGTATACATATGGTTTATTCATTCCCCCTGGACTATATGCATTTGGTGTGTTTAGGTGTTATGAGGACAATGTTGTATATTTGGATGTTTGGGCCAGTCCCTTTAAAACTGCCGAACAAAATTATTGCTAGCATTTCTTCAAAATTAGTTTCCCTGAAGCCCCACATTCCCTTAGATTTTTGCAGAAAGCCCAGACCTCTTGATGAAGTAAAAAGGTGGAAAGCTACTGAGTTTAGGCAGTTTTTGCTTTACACCGGACCACTTGTGCTCCATGACATTTTGCTTCCAGATTATGAACACATTTATAAAAACTTTTTGTCCCTTCATATCTCTATGTCTATTCTCTTGAACAAAAGCTTATCTTCCAACCACCAACAGTATGCCAAAGATTTATTGATTAATTTTGTTAAAACATTTCAGTCGCTGTATGGACAAAAGTACATTACCCATAATTTTCATGGCCTAACCCATATCGCCGATGATGTAACGGTGTTTGGCCCTCTAGATAATTGTAGCGCCTTCAAATTTGAAAACTATTTGTATTCTTTGAAGAAATGTGTCAGAAAAGGAAGTAGACCACTCCAACAAGTGGTGAAGAGGTTGACAGAATCATCAAATTTTTCAAGTACTGAAAGAAAACTGAACAGATCATTCCCCTTTTTTGAACAACAACATTACAATGGACCGATTTTTGATGGATGCAATCCAAATAAACAATACAACTCAGCAGTTTGTCAAAATTTTAAAATAACCACCTCTGCTCCAAATTCTTGTTGCTTGATAAATGATGGGAGTATAGTCATAATTGAAAACTTTATCTACTCTACAAAAGCTGAAGCAATCGTTATTATTTGTAGACATTTCAAGAATATAAGGGATTTCTTTGGATTGCCTTTCTGTGCAAGTAGACAGTTAAACATTGCTGTTGTCAGTGATTTGTCAAACATGGAGATCAGGCCATTTTCTAGCATAAAAGAAAAAATGGTGCTATTAAAAATTCAGGACAATAAACATCTAGCACTACCGCTGCTTCACTGCTGAAAAAAACCTGAAATAAATTGTGTAAATAAAGTAAGTAGGCTAAACAAAATAGGGTAGGCCTACGTTGGAATATGTTAATCATTGTTTTTTTATGAACTAGCTCATTTTAAACCTCATTATAAAATAAAAGATTACATTAATTTTTATTGAGAGAAGTTATACGTCTATCTATTGATAAACAGTAATATAACAAATTTATTCCTACAGTTTACCCCTTTGGACAGGCCAAGGGATTAAATAATTATATCATGTAAAACAAATATCTGTTAATTTTACAGGTTAAGATTACTATTGTTGTGCACAGAATAATATACAATTCAAACAAATTCCAGTTACTGTTTTTTACAGGTTAATTACTATGCACTACTATACACAGAATAATGTATAACTACAACCACCACCAGTCATATTATTTTTTTTTTTAGACAACTATTAGACAACCATGGATAAGAAGTTTGCAATAGTAAAATTTACCCAAGAAGATGACGATGTGGGTGTAATTCCTTGTTGCTGGATACATGAGGATAGGAAACACTGCTACTACCCTAACGTTGCCAATGACGTAAGAAGAAACAAACTCTTAAAAGGGGGAGA